GCCGCAAGGGCCTGGGCTGGGCGCCGTCCCGGGGCCACTGGCCGGCTCCAGAGGAGCTGGCCCCTGCGGGGCCCTGGCCTAATGGGCAGCATGGGGCTCCGGCGTCCCTGGCGCCCCTGCCTCCTTCGGCCTCCTCTCCGTGGGGGACTTCACGCTCTCACCTGCGGCCGGGGTCCAGCAGGCCTCCACCCGGCCGGAGCACTGTTTCCGCGTTGTGCGGGCCCGGCGGGCAGGAGTGACGGCTCCTCGCCTGTGCGTGGCCGACAGCGGCCGCTCTTGCTCAGGCTGGCCGAGGCCCTTCTGGACTGCAGGCCGGTCACACGAGGCCAGGAGAAGCCAGGACTGGCTGCTGCTGGGCAGGTGTTGACCGTGGAGTCAGCGTCCCCCAGCGCTGCTGCCAGTCGGGCGCCCCCAGGCCTGGTCCAGGCACCAACAGCAGAGCCGAAGCCCCGAGAAAGACGCCAGCGCCCGGACCCTGGTGCCTCTGCCGTCGCCTGGGCCGCTGGGTGGGCCATTGCCGTCCGCCTGCAGCTCCCGAGGCCTCACCGAGCGAGACCGTGGTCTTCCTGTCCACCGACGGGTGGGCAGTGGCCAGGCAGTGGCCTTGCTGCCTGCGGGGGAGCTGGGCAGGCCCCCTCACGCCTCGGGCAGCTCCAGGCCGGCTGCTCCAGCCTGACGGGCGTGGTGTTCCTGCTGTGCGTGTTGGGGGGCGGTCCCCGATGACAGATGTCCCCTCCTGGCACTGTCGTGAGCTGCCGCTGCCCTGTGCGGGGGACAACGGGCCACTCTGGCCCTGCGCCCAGCGGGCGTTTGTCCTCTGTGGCGCTTTGAGCTGCAGGGCGCTGCCCCCCCACCCCCACACACACACGCCGGGGAGGCCCCTGGGGCTCTGCAGCCCCCTCCGGCAGAGTCCCAGGGAGCTGCTTGGGGCGCTGCAGAGCTGGGCGCCCACCCAGGGTAACGAGGGGCCCGGGGTCAGGGCGTCAGGTGCCTTCGTGCGGAGCAGACTCTGTCTTAAAAGACCCGTCTGTGCCAGTCTGCGCCCGGCCCTTGCCAAGCCATATCGCGTGCGGCTTGCCTGACCTGTGACTGCCCCGCGGCTGTAAGTAGAGTGCGCAGAGCAGACTGGCCGACCCTCCCCATTATGTTTTGTACCATATTGTAAATTATATTATTTATTCTTTACCGATTTTGGGAATAAAAGGTGTTTTGGTTATTTAATATAATAAAAACTGTTAAACTTCTTATGTTAAACTTCCAGTTGAGCTTGTAAATCTGTTTTTATTATTGTGCATAAATACATACTAATCCTTGCTCTAGCTGAGTCTCCGCCTTTCCTTGGAGGGCCGGGGGCCCTGTCCCG